CAAAAAAGGCCACAGAGATAAAAATCGACAATCGACAACAATCGATAGATGAAAAGAAAAGATTTTCTTCTAGCAGTGGGTTTTCGATTTGGGATTGACTTTTAGTTAGGCACCTTCTGCAATTATTTTAAACGACGAAAGAAAGGGAAATGATTTGGAACAGTTTTTCAATAATCCGAGTAGTTGGGATTAGGAATTCCAAGAAGTGGTAGAATGGTCTTATGTGTTTTAATTTGTAAAGTGTTAGTGAGATTCTGAAATTAAAAAGGAAGGGAAGATACAACTTGTCAGCCAAAAGTAAGAGACAACAACAAAAATTAAGAGCTGTGTTGGCTAAATGAGAAGTTGGGCTTTATCCTTTTACAATAAAGAGTAAGGAAAGGGGAAGGATCTTGTAAAAATGTTTCAAAACTTGAAGATCTGGTCCAAGTCCAAAAAGCTTAAATTTTGAGTGTCACTTGAGAAAGATTCAAGACCTTACAACTTGAAGCTGAGAACTCCAATCCCACTTTTTAGCTTAGGTGGGCCTGCGTTGGATTTGAGCTGTAACTCAAATTTCAGATTAAGAAAGGACTAGGATCCACTCATTTTCTAGCAGGTGACCCGACCCGAGCGTCAACTCGTTTTTAACCCAGGTTTAACCCACGCCTCGACCAATCTTTTCAGCTGAGTCGAGCCAGCAAGCCGCATCATCCAAACCATTATCTGTGCCTGGAGCCGAGCCGCGCCAACCCTTCAGTCAAGCCGTTTTGATTTTTTTTTTGGTATTTTTTGTTTATTTTTTTTGGTTTTTTTTGGTATTTTTTATTTTTTATTTATGTGTTTGTTTATTTTTTTTAAAAGTATTTTTTGCATGAATAAATTAAAAAAAAAGAATAGAAAAAAATATAAAATGAAATTTTCAAGAAAAATATTTTTAAGAAAAAGTTGAAAGTATCAATTTTTCTTTAAAATAAAAATTTTCAAAAAGTATTTTGAGGAAAAGTTGAAAGTATCAATTTTCTTTGAAATTAGAATTTCAAAAAAGATATTTTGAGAAAAAGTTGAAAGTATCAATTTTTCTTAAAAATAAAAATTATAAAAAAAATATTTTTGAGGAAAAGTTGAAAGCATCAATTTTTCTTAAACTAAAAACTTTCAAATGCTTTAAGGAAAAGTTAAAAGTATCAATTTTTCTTATATAAAAGCAATGAGTTTTTTTTTTAAAATTAAAAGAAAAAGATTTATATTAAAAGTTAAATCATTATTCCTTTATTTTTTCCTTTCTTTTCTTGAAAAATTTTTAATGTTAAATATTCCAATGATGGAGCCTCTATAAGAGAAACAATAGTTTTCTTGCATACTCTTGAGGTGAGAGAATTTTTCTTAATTTTTTGTCAAAAGTATTAGAGTTAATTAAGAATAATTTTTAATAATTAATTACTTGATAAAATTTTTAAGACTTATTAGATAATACGAAACTAAGCTGGTACCATCTTTTGATGGGCGTGTGAGGGTACTATAACCTTTTTCACTCGTAATTGAACTCTCGAACTTTGTTCTGGTTAATAGACTCGAACTTATTCTTTTAAAGACCCTTAGTCAAGCTTAGGTGTTCTTTGAAAGGACAGATTCAATTAGGTGACCAATCACACCTAAATAAAAAAGATTGGTGGTGATTCTTTAAGTCAATGTCTAGCGATAGGTCCTCAAATCTAGATATTATGACATTAAGAATTGTTGAATGAATTAATAAATGAATTGTTGAATTCAATTTTGTTGACAGTGTTGCTGGAAAACTGTATTTTGCTGAATTGTGTATTGTGTCAATTATGAAATTATTGTTCTCCCTAAATGTTAATGTTTTTGGTGCTGCTTTCTTTTTTTTTTTTTTTTTTTTAAAATTTTATTGGGTTTAGATTGAATTTTTAAAAAACATTTAATTTTAATTTTTTATAGCACTTTAGACAATTATTTATTTATTTTTTAGTCCATAAAGTTTTAGTTTTTTAATTGCATTGATTTTTATTAAAAGAATTATTATTTTATAATAATAGATAGGTGTCACCAAGTATTTCTTTGATAATTTTTATTTAATGGGTAAAGTAATAATTTTATAATATTGGACGGCTGTTATATGTTAAAAGGGTTTATTTTAATATAGAGTAGTATAGAAATGCAATATTTCAAATAGGCAACTTCAGTTTGTTGAGCTTACCTGATCATTTAGAATACCAAAAGATGACTACCCTTGACTTCACAAGTTTAGATTGCATACACGAATCCTCAACACTTCTCATGCTTACTTAGCCAATAAAAAAGAGAAAATAAAACGGAACTAACAAATCACAAATATAAATAACCCATCAAGGCTTTGAAGCTTAATTTTCTCCCAACACATTTTGAGGTGATCTTGTTGTGAAATTAATTAAGGTAGCAATGAACCGTCTCATAGCTCAGACATTGATGTTTCTCCTCATCATTGTGCCTTATCAGGGTAAGGATTACGGTCTAAATATTTTTTTTTAGATTTTTTTTATTAATTTAATTTTAGTAATCAGAGTTTAATCTCGAGTAATCTAAAAAAAATTAACGGTTAATTAAGCAAGGAAATTAGTTTATTTTATGTGAGATTTATGATTTTGATATAGGTGAAGTACTAGTGGCAAGACAAGTAGAGTGCAGTGAGTCATTCCGGCTGGACCGATATTGCACGGGAGATTGGTGTCAATTAAACTGCAGGCTGAGGCACGTTGTGCGCTATATGGATTACAAATGCTCTGGCCTAAAGACCTGCCGCTGCATCTATGAATGCTAGCCCCTCCCCCTACCAACTCTACATAATATGAAAAATAACGGGGAAATAATTAAATAAAGTGAATGACTATGTCTTATGTCTTTAATTTAATTTATATGTATCAATCATAATCCAACAAGGTTTATGTATTTTGTTTACAGGACAATATTCATGGTTGGTTTTGTACCAAATTCCATGTATTGGCATCAAATGTTGAATCCAGTATCACTAAATAAAAATTTAGAGGAAATCAAATCATGATTATGCATGATCATCAAAATTCATGTGCTCTCCCATAGACTTCGCTTTTTCTGGAATACTTCCTAGCTGCAAAAGAACTTGAGAAATCAAACGTTTAATAGTTAGGGATTAACGTCGTATTGAAATCTATATTTTATAAAATTTTTCAATCGTGCAATAATAAGGTACTCGAGGATAATTGAAACTTTTAATGTAGATTTCATCCATTCACATTTTAATAAGTGAAAAATAATATCACATCATCATGTCATATGTTATATATATATATATATGTGGATGGCATGTATTATAATTTCAAAAAATATGCTATAAAATAAAATTATTATTTTGGAAAATAAAAAGAAAATTTCGCTAAGAAGAAACTTTCCTAAAGAAAAGGAAAGAGACAATTTAGGAAAAAATCAAGAAATTGGAAGAAAGGCAGAAATAGTCTCAAGGCAGGTGATAAAATGATCAAATACTAGTGTGTTGCCCCGCACTTCGTCGCGATTTTTTTATTTTGTAAGGCAGTTGAAAGAATAATTTTTAATTAATATAACATAAACATAAGATATTAAAAGAAAATAGAACTGTAAGTAGACAAAAAAAAAAAAAAAGAAATTAGAACTTAATTACAAAAAAATTTAGCTTATCATTTGTCTTTATCATCTTAAAAATCTTTAGATCTTAATTTTTTTTAATATACTCATTTATAATTCACTACAAAAATTCAAGTTAAAAAAAGTCAATAGAATTACACAAATATATAAAAAAATTTAGCATTAGAGGTACATGAAGAAAATAAAATATCTGCTGAACACTTTAAATACAAAGTTCACAACCAGATTGAACTGCCACCTGCCAAGAAAAAATAAATAATCATAAGCTAACCATTATAACATGTTGCATATTGAACTACTAAAGCAAATTCTTACCCCCCGTTTAAGACCAAAACCCACTAACCTAAATATGTCAGAAACCAAGATCTCATACCCTAAACTCACCATAAAAAGAAAAAAAAAAAAAAACAATTGTCAATATTAGAAGTCTCAACAATCTCAAATTTGACAATCTCATTTCATTTAATTGATTAAATAAAAATAAAAATAATTTTATGTTATTAATTATTTAAAAAATTAAAATACACTGCTTTTATCCAACTAGAGAAAAAAAAATTAGAATTCTCCAAAATTTTCTCATTAAATCATTAAAGATTATTTTTCTAAAATTTCTATTACTCGTGTTATTGATTAAAAGAGAAACATTTGTTAAGTGACATCTGTCTTTTAATTGAAGCATCAATTAAACAAATATTTACTGTTTCGATTGCGGGATTATTTTTATATTAAGTATGGATTTAGCAGTTACGCATTAAAATTTTTGTCGCTGGGTTTTGTATTTGTGAATGTTGTCAGTGTTCCTAGGTCCTGCTCTCTCAACTTGTAATATTCATCAAATGTTTAGTCTGGTTTACGTTTATTGACGTATTTTCGAGTTACCCATAATTTGGTAAGCATTTTATGTAATAGTAGTACGATTCGTCGGTAAAATTAAAATTTAATTTTTAAATATAAAAAAATTCCCTTTAAATAAATAAATAAATAAAACCTAGGATAAGCTCTATTACATAAAATCAACCCTTATCATGAACATATTCCATTATTTTTTCAGGTATAGAAAATTATTATTTATCTTTAAATATTTTGGTAAATAGAATGTGAACGAGTTAAGCAATATTAAAGAGAGCAAAATTAAAAAATAAATATCCCAAAATATTATTAAATATGGAGTTTGTATTTGATATTATGTGGATGTGTAATCTTATACTACAATACTGATAATTTAATTCATCATTTCATCAAAATTAACATATTAATAAAAATTTTTAAAAAATTCTAATGTCGTGGAAAACTATGATCACGAAGAAAATTATTATAAATTTCTTTTTTAGAAACCAAAAAAAAAAAGCAAAATTCCATGGTAGGTGCAGGGAAAGTACGTCAAGTCAACCCTTTAAGTCAACAGTTGATTATCTTTCCTGGAAAGAAAATCCGGGGACAGAAGTGAAAGCCAAAGGGAAAATGGCTGATGAAGTAGATTCTACATCTGCAACAGGTTTCAGTTTGTCTGATGAGTTGGCTCTAGAGAATTGTTATCTTGGGTTTGGTTTGATGGAGAATCAGGACGATCATGTCCCGTTTCCTCTATTGAGTCCCAACAATAATCAGGAGGCTCATCAGCCAATGTCGTTTGATCGTGAATACAGTAACAACGGTGGTGGAGTACATGGGTCGAGCGATGGGTGGTCGGCTGTGTCAGGGGCCCTCAGTTTCACTACTACTTATGGTCCAGAACTCGACGAACAGCAGTTGACTCTCCCTTGGATCACTGAAAAAGCCATTACTCACCAGCAGCATAGCCAGGTCACTTTACCATGTTATTTGTTTTCAAGATTTTTGGCATAAATTTGGTCTTGCACTGTCTCTGGGGACTCGAATCCTCAACAGAAACCGAAAATTCGGAGAAAAAACATAAGCTCCCAGAGATCAGGCGTCTATGTTTAGCAAAATCTGTTAATATTTTTCGGTTTGCTAATTTCTAATTCTTCATCTATTAAACATGTTCAAAACTGAGATTATCCTAAAACAAGGGATGAGTTGTTCCATGTCCCCCCAAATACCACATTCAAATTAGTGATTAATTTTGTTCTAATAGCTTTTGTTTGAAAATTTTAGTCCCACATTTGAATGGTTTCAAAGATAAATATAGCTCTTAAGTCAAACTTTCACATTTTCTTGATTAATTCTGCAACTAACATATGATGCCATTTATGGTCAAATGAGGGGAACGACGATTGCTTAAAAATCTTATGGACATACCTGCATACCGAAAGATACTAGGATCAGCCATGTCTTCTGCATCGAGATACAATCTCTAAGAATGGGCAAACTGTCCTAAAATATATCTTATTTATGTAGCTCTCTGTATCATCTTTGGCTGTTGCACTCTTATTTCATTAGTCAATGACCAAATCTAACCTTCTGAAAACTTGTATTTTTGTGCAACATTTGTATATGCAATCTGAGTTAGTAATGGTTGCATGATCTCATGTTGGTTCTTGCAAGAAGAAACCATGATTCAATATATCCTAAGCATTTTTTTTTTTTAGCAGAAGATGGATAACTCAGTGAAACATCATTTGAGTTGTGGTACTCATTCATCATCATTGGACAGTGATGGCTATGATACAGCATCATCGGAGAGCATTAGGGATGAGATGCTGCAACAATCAAAAATGAAAATCAATCATGAAATTAGTGTTCAAGCACCAGAACTTGGGATGGAGTTTTCTTCTGAAGACGATGCATACAAGTTTTACAAAGATTACGCTAATGCAATTGGCTTCTCTGTGAGGAAAGGAAAGTACCAACGGTCGTTGAATGGAACCATTAGGAAACGAAACTTTTTGTGTTCAAATGAGGGGTTTCGATTGAACAAACCTAACAGCAATGCAGTAAGGTATAGAAGGAAAGAAACCAGAACAGGATGCAAAGCCATGGTTCAAATCACAAGTGAAAATGAAAAATGGATGATCTCCCACTTAGTTCTTGAGCACAATCATAACCTTGAAGGTTCAAGTCAAAGGTATATAGGTTCACGCCCTCACAACTCACAGACCTCAGAAGATCATTTGACAAATCGCACAATAAGGAAAACTGCAATGGTGCAAAAGGCAGGGGATTCAATTTCTGCAAAATTTTGTAATGTGGATTATAGTAGCTACTTGGGCTATCAGAACGTAAGTAGTCTAAACCCTGAAGATGCCCAGGGCTTAATTAACTACCTCAAGCAATTGCAGCTGGATGATCCTTCATTTTTCTACACGTTGCAAGTTGATGCCAAAAGCAGCCTTACAAATTTCTTTTGGAGGGATGGCAGATCGAAATTGGACTATCAGTACTTTGGAGATGTCATAGTTCTGGATACCACATTCCGAGTTGGGTTGCAACGCATGATTTGTGCACCATTTTTAGGGCTTAACCATCATCGGCAGTATGTCTTGTTGGGCTGTGCTTTGCTGCTTGATGAAAGCAAGGATTCTTTTAGGTGGTTGTTTGGGACCTTAATGGCAGCAATGGGTGGTCACCAACCAAAGACAATTTTAACTACTGAGTGTCAAGCAATGGCTGATGCAATAAAGGAAGTATTACCTGATACACAACATCATCTTGGCATGTGGTACATTCAACAAACTGCTGCACAGCATCTTTCTGAACTTTATCAGCAATCAGGATTCAAAAACCTTTTCAATAAATGCATCTTTGATTGCCAATATGAGGAAGAATTTGATTTGTTGTGGAATTCTCTAGTGGAGCAATACAATCTGCGAGAAAATGAATTCCTCAAGACTCTACACGTGTTGAGGAAGAAATGGTCTCCTGTTTTCAGCAAAAGTACTTTCTTTGCGGGCATACAATCAACAGATGATTGCAAGACCATTAGAACTGTTTTCCAGAGTTTGATGAGAGAGAACATGACTCTGTCGAAGTTTGCTCAGCAATATCAAATGGTGGCAAAGGAACAGCGTAAGAATGAATTAGATGAAGACTTATGCTGTAATAAGACTTCTCCATTGACGATTCTTAAAGGCAGTACCTTGGAGAAACAAGCTGCAGATGTCTATACTCGTACCATGTTCAAATTGTTCCAAGAAGAGTTACGCGGATGCCTATCAGTGGCGATAGAGGACATGGGATTTACTGGCACAGTTGCTACATTCAAGCTGAAAGAGGAGGCCCAAAAGGATCACATTGTCAAGTTTGATGATTCCTTGAACCAAATCACATGTGGTTGCAAAAAATACGAATCTGTTGGTATCTTATGCGTCCATATTCTAAAGGTACTGAATGCCAAAAATATCTTTCAATTACCTTTCCGTTATATATTGAAGAGGTGGATGAAATCTGCAAAAGATGGCAAGGTGCTGAATGACCATATTGGAGCAGCAGAGAGGAGCGAAAAATCACTGAAAGTGAGCAAACTAGAGCAAAAAGCTCTAAATGTCATCACTAAAAGTGTTGCTTCTGAAGATAGCTATAAGATAGTTGAGGATTGTCTGGACATAGTCTTGGGAAAGGTCGAAAATGTTCTGAAAACAAAACATACTGGACATCAGGATAAAGAAAAGGATGTTGAAATTCTTAACACATGTAATGAAGGTATAGAAACACAAACTGTGCTATCAGCTCCCCCATTTCAAAAAGAAGCAGCAGATCATAGACTGAGAAGTAAATCAAAGAGAAAGCATGAAGATGATGTGAGTGAGATAAACTGCAAGTCTATGGATGATTGTGTTCTCCATCGTCAACCTCCTAGAAAAGCAACAAAAGGTCAGAAATATTATTAGTATTAGCATTATGACTTCTTTAATTGCTGATCTATCTTAAACTTATTCCCTTTATGGTTGTATGTTCATTAGGAACAGACAATGAAGGATCAAGGGCAATATCTAGCCACTCATATTTTGCAGGGGATTGTTCACAACAACCTGCCTGTATTTCGCCACGACCTCCACTGCCTTCACCATCCACTATCCACCAATTCAAAGGTTTCAGCAAGCCTATGGGTATTTTGCAGGTAAAAAACACAAAGTACTAATGAATGGCTAAATTAGTATTAGAGGACGTGCACTAAATGATTAGTGTTTAGAAAGTCGTATATCTTAGACCGTAATATATTTTAATCATCCTGAGGTGTTGACATTAGACAGGCCAACTAGAAACTGTATTTTGTTTTGTAGGAAAGAAAGAAGCAAGCACCGGATGCGCCAGTGAGTAGAAGAGAGATGGAGACAATGGAAATGACAATAATGGTGAGAATTCTATACCATGTTGCTGTTTCATTAGTTTTCTGTTTTTGTGTTCCTTCCCTCCTTTATGTTGTGCAATTTGTGATGTAGTCAAAGATGAAAGAGATGCACGAAGGGATCACAAAGATGAAAGGGATGCATGAAGCGATCTTAAGGGCTATAAATGAGAATAAGAAGTCTTTACCATGACCATGAGAACAACAGGATATGGAGAATCAATTATGTTTATAGAAAGTAGGCCTCAAGCATTGATAGAAATTTTTTTGTGCCTTGCACTTGATTTCCCAGTTTGGTTGATTCTCTGGTTTCTGGTCTTGCAGCTTATCTTGCAGCTCTTCTCTTCTCTTTTCCACTCAGAAGCTGGTATTCAATTAACCTAGCTGGGGAGGAAAGAACGGAAACAAAGAAGAAGGTAGGACGCTGACCTTGCTTTCAGTAATGGTAAGAGTGGCAATGTGTCCTTCTAGCAATGTGCCCCTTCCTTTCTAGGTTACACCCTTCCTTTGTCAACACACCTATAAAATAGGGTAGGGAAGTAATGAACCTTTGGGCGAGTTCTCCCTAAACTACTTAATAGTGCAGCCAGCTCCCATAGATTTATATAAAATTTTTGTATCAATTTGGGAATGTCATGCTTTTCAAGTCATTATCACATTGCTGCCAACTAGTTTGATGAATTGATGCCAGGCCTAATATAGTATAGAATCAGTTTGGATTTGGATTTTTGTGAACTTTCTACATAAAAAAATCAAAACCTGAAATGAGAACCACATTCTTTCCCTTAAAATTGAAATTGATATGATTCCTTAAAACCTTGACCTTTAACAAATTGATCAAAGTTATAGAATTTAGTTCAATCTGTTAAACAAATTTGAAAAATATTGAAAAGGCTTCAATTCTTGGAAATGTCACAGTAATTTGAGGTTGTTGATTGTTGTTCATTGGTGTCATAACTGGCAAGGCTAGATGTATAATTTTCAAATCGAGAAAAAAAAAATAAGTCATTAATTTTTTTTTAATGTATGATTGACCATCCAAAAATTTATTTTTTTAATAAAAAATGAATTTAAAGTTTATTAAAAAGATAATTTTCGATTTGCAAAAAAGAATTAGGTTTATAAGTCGATTACACGTGAAGAAGGATTAGCACCCCCACAACGCTTATGAGAATTGGTACTTATTAATCATGTCTCATCTTCAGGGTTAGATAAAATGGTTTTGATTTAAAATTTAATAATAATTTCTTTCATTTTTTATGAAAAAAAAAAAGAAAATTAATGTTCCTAGTCCTTTATTTAGGAATATTGCAAAAAAAAATTTAAGTTGAATTATCTTCAAATATTCTAATATCTAGGCAAAATTTAAAGATAATTTTTTTCGCCTAAGATTTATTATAACATTCATTGAAAAAGAAAATAACACTCTTTTGTAAAAAATAATTGTTGGTGACTTTTCAACATCTAGGTAAAATACCAAAAATTATTTTTTTCGAAATGTTATTTTTTTTCTTATTTTATAATTTCACATATTTAAATTACATTTTAAAAAAATATTTATATGCAAAAATAAAAATTTGATGATGGTACAATTAACTAGCAAATGATAATTAAAGGTGTACACATGCAAAATGAATACAAACAATAATGAATAGATACATGCATGCCAATTGATGTTATGTAAGATGATGAAATGTAATTTTGACATTGGGTTTTTAATATAATGAGATCATTCATGTTCCTCAGCTTCTAAGCAAAATTTGGGTGAGACTATTTATATTTAAGATTTTATTTTTAAAAATTTTTTTATTTAATCTTTTTATTATTGTGGGTTAAGGACTCGTACGAAAAAAAATTTAAAAAGATAAAATTTTCTAAATATTTCAGCTTTTAAGTGGCATTTGAAAAAAAATTATTTCATTTGAGATTTTCATACGTATTTTTAGAATTTTGAGATGGTTTTGGATATGGGCTTAGGTTGAAACTTTAAGGTTTGGATATTTTTTGGGTGATGATTTGGGGTTGCGAGTTGAATTTAGGGTTTTGATTAAATTTAGGATCTTGGTGGATTTTCAGGACGTAGGGTTTCATTTTAAGGTTTCAAGTTTTTACTGTTTTGGGTTTTAAGGTTTTGGTTTTGGGATTTCAAGGTGTTAAGGTTTATGGTTTTAGGGCTTCAAGTTTTAAGGTTTAGGGTTTTGAATGTTTAGCATTTGGAGTAATTAGGGTTTAGGGTTTTGGATTTTTAGGGTTTTGAGCTTTTAGGGTTTTAAAAGTTTTAGGGTTTTGAAGGTTTTACGATTTGGAGTTTTGGATTTTAAGATTTTGAGGTTTTGGGGTTTTAACATTTTAGATTTTTAGGGTTTTGAGATTTTGGGGTTTTATGGTTTAGGGATTTCAAGTTTTGGAGTTTTACAATTTTAAGGTTTCAAGGCTTTAAGGTTTCGTGATTTTGAAAGTTATAGGGTTTGAAAAAAATTTTTATTAGAAAAATGAGAATTAACTATAATATGAACTTTTTCAATTATCCCTAATATCCATGCGAACTTTCGAAATAAGTTCAATTTTCGTAATTATCCTTTTTCCCAAACAATTTTATATTGATGCAACATAAGGCAAATAATTTATGTAAATGAAAGCTAAAAATTAGAACAACCAATTTAATCAATTTTGTATATATTTCTATTTACTTATCATTATTTCCTATCTAAAAATTAAAAAAGAAATAAACTTTATTTGTTATTTAATTTACTTATGAAAATTTTACTTTATATTTTAAATTGTAATTTAATTTAACTTAATTAATTTTTTATTATTTTTTTAATTCCCCAATATTTAGGTGAAATTAATTTTTTAAAACATGATTTTAAATTTCCTACAACATTTAGGCAGTGTTTTCAAGATTGTTTTCTCACTTAAAATATCATTTTATCTTTATTTTCATAAAAAAATATTTTTTTAAAGACAATCATTTTTAAATCATAAAATTGCTATCTTTCACTTTTTACTCAATATTTTTTTTTATTTTGTCAATTACCCACAAATAAATTAATTTTCTAAAATATATCTATATGCCTTTTATTTTACTATGATTGTTATTTTTTTAGAAATCCTAAAACAACATTAACAAGCATAAAAATATTAAAGATATGGTAAAATAAGTAAGCCAAAAAAGAAATGAAGCACACATTAGAACAAGGAGTTTGGGCTTAAACCCAAAAACGGAGCCCACTATCTGAAAAGACTTTTAATCAGTTGGGCTTTGAATTGGGCTAGGTGAATACTAGGCTAGTTCAAGTGTGAATTGGGTATGGATCGAGTTTGCAAAGATTAGGTTGATCGAGTCTGGTTGGTAGGTCAACCTGGTGGGCACGGGTCGGTTGAACCCTTTTGCTCTTTTTTTTTAATTTACTATAAGTATCAAGAAAATTTTTGTTAATTTATTCCATCTTTCTATTCTCTGAAAAAATGTTTTCCCTTCATTCAAAAAAAGCAATCGGCTATTAACCTAGAAAATGGCAGTTGACTATTAACCCAGAAAATGGCAACTGATCATCGCTCTCGTCGCCAGTATTATTGTCGGCTAGTTGCCTTTCAAGCCTAAATTTCACCCAATGTTTCTTTTTCACCCTATCTTTGTAGATCCAGACTTTGTTTTTTCATAAAACAGCTTCAAAAACCCCATATCTGAGCCAAAAGTGAAAACTTCAAACTGTTAAAGGTCATAACCCCACCGTCGAATCCTTTTGATTTATATATATATATATATATATATTTGTAGGGGTGTGCAGTCGGTCAATTTGTTTAATTCGGTCTGAAAAAATCAATAACCGAATTAACTGATTTTTATTTTATCAGTAACTGAACCGACCAACAAAATTTTAATTAATCGATTTAATTGAACCGATCAAAAATCGATTCGATTCGGTTAGTTCGGTTAAATAACCGAATTTTTCATCATTTTTTCTCTTATTTTGAATAATTATTTAGCTACAAATTCAATATAATAAAACTCAAATTCACATACCATTCAAACTAAATCACTAAAGAATTTAATAATTTCTACAATATTTTACAAGAAAAAAGACAAATAAATACACATTTAAACTTATTTAATCAAAATAAATTAAACAATAAGTTTTAAAAAGTATTACTCTAACATATATCAAATAACCAACAAAGCCATCAATACATAATAATTGTCATTTCAACACATAAACAAGTTTTCAAGGATCAACAAGCCAACTTAAAAAAGCAAATCAAGCAAATATGCATCTCATAACTTTGGTGCAAAACATAAAAGACATTTTAAGTTGACAAATTGAGCTAACAACTCATACAAAACATAAAACAAGCTAAGAACACTTCGAGTTGACAAATGGATATAAAAGTTTATAAAAAAAACATAAAACAAGCAATTAAAGGACATTCCAAGTTCTAACAGCATTCTTCATACATGAACCCCATAACTTTGGTGCACATCCTTCATTTTTTCCTAAAATGTTAAAGAGATTAAAACCTTAATTAGTTGTCAATGAATACAATAAATATTTTTTAAATGTAAATATTCATAGAAATTAATAATAAAATTACCTCAAAAGGTCCTTGCACATTTGTTTTAATCAATTACTGGATCTAAGGCAATTTTTGACAAATCTAAAAATATATAAACAAAAAATAACAAAAGTAAGCTTTAAACAAATAAAAAAATAAAAAATAATAATCCTTAAAAAATAAATGATAGTATAAATAAAATATTACCTAAATCCATTTTGTCAAGTTGTATCAAATCATCTTTAGGTTGAAATGAATCAAGATTAGAAGATCTACGTAACTAATCTTGAGCACAAATAAGGGCTTGCACAATTTTAGGAGTTAAAGAGCTCCTATATGCATCAAGCACACGACCACCAGTGCTAAAAACAGATTCAGAAGCAACTGTGAATATAGGAATTGCTAACACATCACGAGCTAGATGAGAAAAGATAGAAACCTATGGCTATTAAGCTTTCACCAAATTAAAACATCAAAGTCATCACTATCATCATCATCAGGCTCCTCACTCAAATATTTAGTCAATTCTGATTTATGTTCATCTTTGCCATGTTCAATCCTACACCTCTTGTACTTGGACTTAAAGCTTTCCTTTTTTTTTTTGTTGTTCCATTTCCACTTTCATCATCGGTGGGCTGTGACATTTGGCTCACTTGACTACTTTTACCAACTTGCTCAGACTGAGGTTCTAACATTCTTTTGTATTCATTAAATAAGTCTTCTATTGCTTGTTGTACTTTTTTAATCATCAATGAAGCTTCATCAGAAGAATACATTTTCATGAAGCAATATTCAACAAAAGGAAACTTTTTTAAAGGATCAAGAAGAGAAGCAATATAAACCAACATATTCATCTTCTCTATATTTTCCCAATACTTATCATATTTATCCTTCATTCTCTTTGTCATTGCATTCAACTCAACATCAAGATTTAATTGCCATTCTCGTAAAGTGGAATAAACATCACATATATCATCAAGAAAAGTATTAGATATGACGTAAGAAGTACCTGAAATTTTCACGGTGAGATCATAAAATTATTGCAAGAAAAGGCAAAACTTCATAACAATTGCCCAATCATTTTGATCGGGTACCCCATCTCCCATCAAAAGCTCATTTCTATAATAAAGATCAACATCATCAAATGCATCAAATGCCCTTTCAAACTTTTGAGCTGCATCCAACATCAAATAAGTAGAATTCCATCTAGTGCTAACATCCAAACACAATAAACTTTTACTTTGAATATGTTCATTTACAATACACTCTTTAAACTTAGTTAACCTGGAAGGTGATTGTCTCACATATCTTATTGCCCCTCTAACACGAGCAA